GAAGAAATGGTCCCTGCATGAAACTGCTCACAAAATCTGTGGATTACTAGTTGTTGCTGACCTCTACTTAGTATTTTTATGTTGTGGCGCAGCGATTCGGACAATCCTAAACCTTGATCCCACACTGACAGTCCCCCCACAGACATACACACATACTGGAGAGTTAGCTTCTGTGAGCCACTAGCTTAGCTACAACACACGTAACACACAGAAACTTTTATAGACAGCGTGAATGTGCTTCTAGTGACTGTAAAAAGTCTGTCAATCACTGGGGTCGGTGTCGAGGCCACGCCCCCTTAAGGTCCGGTACACCTGCTGCTGGTACTCTGGTGGTCATATATACAGCTGTTGGTCTAGACACTGTGTATGAAGTAAATAAATAATAAGTGAAAGTAGAATATTATTTCCACACCACCCAAAGGAAGAAGACTGTATTGTTTAATCGATCCATCTATGAAAATCAACCTCAAAACAGACAAGCAGCTTTTCCAGCCAACCCGCTCCATTGGCACTCGGTGTAAAATGGAAAGCATGTTGCCAGAAATTGCCTTGTTTATCCATAGCAATTACACTAATGTCTCCAAATGTATGTGCTAATGATTTATTGATGTTAAAATGCTGCACGTAGCACCATTAAATCCATCCAGCCAGCAAGCCTTTCCAAATAATCCACCTTGTTTGTGGGAAGGGCTGACCCGGCTCCATCCTTCCATCCATCCATCCATCCATTAACCCTCCATGTCATTAGTTCACTCATCTATCCACCCACCCATCAGCCATCAGTCATTCCTCTCCTTCCTTTATGAGGGATGATGTCGAGCTCTCATTAGCAAACCATCCTTCTCTTTCTCCCTCCTTTTTTCTTCCTCTCCCTCCATCACCTTTGCAGGATCCGGGGAGTGCATTAGCAGATTAAACAGAGGGAGAGATGAAGCACCTCCTGTCCCTGTGCCAACTCCCTCCAGCTACAGTTCCTCTCTCCTTCCATCTTCCTTCATTTTTATCGCACCACCTTTCTCTTAATTTCTCTTTTAAGTGTCAGTGGGAACGCATTTTCTCTTTTAACATATTTCCAAAAGCTCTCTGAGTCTTTTTTCGTCTTTTTCTGTTCCTGCATTTGTCTCTGACTCTGTTTATCTCTCCACTTCCATCATTCTCGCTGTCAATTTCACAGAAGCTTTTGCTTTCTGTACCCCCGCTGCTTGGTTTATCCGTTTCCATCCCTCCTTCACTGTGTCTCTCTTGCTTCCTCTCTTACTTTGTGACTGAATCTCTCATTTTCTCTTTTACCCTCTCTTGTTGTCTCCATTTGCTGTGTTTTTATGTCTGCCTCTGTTCCTACTGATGGAGATATTCTTCATCTTTGTAGGAGAAGGCTGATACGTAGCCGCACTCACAAACTACCCACATGTGATCAGGATACGAATTGACATCAGGGTTGAATATCATGAATACATTTTTCACATTTTGGTGGAACTTTAACCCAAAAAATGCATCTGCAAGCACCGAGAGAAAGCCACCACCTGAATTTGTTTTCTATTTCTTGGCTGCAGTAACCCTCTTTTCTAAATCTTGAAAACTTGACTGCGGTTGACATTTCTGGTGACATGACAACTCAGCAAGTTGTAATACCACCGGGGCTGAAGTGAGCAATCAGCAAGCTCAACTTGTCAAACATAGAGTGACTCAGCAGTGGGTCTGGTCTGAAACTGGAGTTAGAAATCACAGGAGTAAAAGTACTTTCAGCTGTGTAATAATACACGTATGCAGTGTTAGATGGATACTGCGATTAACACAGAAACATATAAAAGAGAAGAGAAACATATTATGGTTCATTGAAGTCACTGTCAGTCACTGAGCATTTCCTTAGTGATGGTGCCTATATATGTCTGTAGAGAAGATAAAGCACATAAACCTATAAAGTTAACATACGCTACATGGCTACATTTCACCAACTGCTCAAACAGCCTCCACTCAGGTCCAACCTTGATGCTGGCCGGTCAGGTCTGGCTCACAGCCGGTGTTCCAGCTCCCAGAGAGGTTGGATGGGGGTTGAGGTCAGGGCTCTGTACAGGCCTGTTCATCAAACTGGGAAAACCCATTTCTTATGTGGAACAAGGAGGGTCCAGCAGTGGCCTTACCAAACCACGCCTCCTCCAAACCACGCCCCATCATCATTTGTTATCAAACCACGCCTCCTCCAAACCACACCTCCTCCAAAACCACGCCCATTTGCACACAAAGCCACAGTGGCTGAGGACGTCAGCGTCAAAAAAAGCAATCTAAGCAACTATTAGGCAAAGAAATACTAATGTGGTCTAATATTTTAGCAACTATTAAGCAGAGGTAGTGAGGATAAACCATGAATTGTGTTAGCCTAACTTCTAAAATTACACTCTTAGATGTCGCTGTAGATTTAGAAGCACAACACTGTAATAACCTACAGTAAAATACCACATTACTTCAGACAAAATGAAATACAGTAAAAAGTACAGTATAAATACAGTGTACATAGATTCACAATGTAGTCTCATTTCTGAATCTAATATGTTTTGGACGCAGTCTCTTGGGACCCAACCAGGCCACAAACCACATCTGGATGTTCAACTTCCTTCTGCGTCTGTCAACAACTGTCACCTGTTAGAGTTGGAACCTGATCACTGCACATAGGAGCATTTACTAACTTCTTTTCACTCGTATGTTGTGTTGTCAAATGTAACCGCAGCAATGAAGCGTTACATTTATACTGCAAAGCTGCACGGACGCAGTGTCTGTTAACAGTCAAAGTACATACCCCCCCATACTCTATATACTGTCATATCCACCTGCCTCATGTATATAATAATACCTGCACGGAAATATTTATTCCAGCATCTTTTGCACAACACACACACACACACACATATAACTGTTTGTTAAGCTTGTTGTCCTGTTTATTTATGCTTATTCAGTGTATGATCTGTGTGCACATACCTGGCCAATAAAAGTGCTTTCAGCCGACACATTATTACAGAGATAGACAGAGGGAGACAGAGACCAAGTGAAAGAGAAAAACAACTGAGAGAGGGGGAGAGTGAGAGAGAGAGAAGACAGAGAAGTACAGAGAGACAGACAAAGCTCAGCCTTGTGACAGTGAACGCATCAGGACACAGTGGAGCTCTGTATGTGTGTGTGTGTGTGTGTGTGTGTGTGTGTATATGTGAGTGTGTGTGTGTGAGAGAG